GGTTGTTGTACGTTTGATTCCAATTGTTTGTTCTGTTTGCACTTTGGTAATTAAAATTTTGTTTTAATTGACGACAAACTATGGCTGAATGACCTATTTTGTTACATATTTGACAGATTAATTCTTCCCTCATGATGTGGATTTTATCTTTTTTAGTTTCTAATTTTTCCTCTCTGTTCCTATGGGAAGATCTTAAAGCTAAGTTTGCTGCTAATTTTCTTTCAATTTCAATAGCATTATTTATGGCATCTTTAAATGTATTTACGTCTTCTAATCTGGTTTCAATGTCTGTTTTTAATCCTCTAATAAAACAATCTAAAACATCTTTTTTAAATCCAGTTACGAAATTTTCATCTTCTCTTCCTTGATTACTACGCCTATGTGAATCTAAAATTCTATTTCCTATTTCCCGTATTCTAGTTGCGTAAGAAATAACTTTTTCGTTTTCCCATTGATAAATGCTTCCTAATTCACCCTGTAGTTGATATATAGATTTATTTGGAGAATACACATTTTTTAGGCTATCTATTAATTCATTGATGTTATCGTAAGAATCATTTAATAAAGATTGTCGAGATTCTCCCCTAATTTTTGTTTTAATAAGTTTTGTTAAGTTTGCTTCTGCATTTTGGGGTAATAGGCTTTTGGCTTCATTACATGAGGAAATAAATTGTTCTAAAGGTATGTTATCGCCCGAAAAAATTGGTACTATTTCTAAGGCATCGCGAAGTGAGACGACTTGATTATTAAAAATCGTTGCTTGTGTTTCTGGCATTATTTTTCTTTTATAGTTATCGGTAAAATTTATAAATTTGCTCTGTTTGTCTTTAATTAATAGTTCTAAAATATCGTCTTTATCTGAAATTGATTTGTCAAAATTCTTATATGGGGTTATTGTATTATTTTCTAAAGGTTCTGTTTCGGATTCAGATTCTGATTCAGTATTTATTTCTAAGTTTTCTGGTTTTAAGGTTGTTTCGATTATGGTAGAAGAAAAGTCAGTTAAATTTAGTGAATTTGTGTCAATAGATTCTTCAAAATTAGTTATTGTTTCGTCGTTTGCTGTATTGCCACTAATTATAACACTATTATTTTGTCTAGAATAAGGATGTGGAGAGTCAGTTTTTTTATTATAAGTTTCAAATGCAGTTTGATTATTAGTTAGTATTTCATTTGCTAATAAAGGATTATTTTGAGCTTCACTACGAGTAGTTCTCTTTTCTTCAGACATTGGTTAACATTTTTGAAAAAAGTAAACAAAATTTGTAAGTGTAATGTAATGTAGAATAAAACTTGTCAGTTTTATGTTTTCTAATTTTTGTATGTGTGGACAAACATATGTGTAGACAAATATATGTGTATACAAATATATATATATATATATATAATATGATAGATAAATACGTTTATAAAATAAGTAAAGGATTATTTGATTGTTTCTGTTCATAAATTATTTGATTAGAAACAACAGAATTTCTCAAAAAAATTTGCAAATTTTATTTAGAATTAATTATTTATTAATATTGTTGAAAAAATTTAAGCAACAATTTTTTTATTTTAAAAATTTTGAAAATTTATTTGTTTATAACTTGTTAAACAATATTTTGGTTTAAAAAATTTATGGAAAAAATGTGTTTAAATTTTATTTAAGAGAATTATTAATTTTTTGTTTATTTAAAAAAAATTTTATATAATTATTTTTATATTGTTTATTTATTTATAAATTGAAATATTTGTTTAAAAATAAATTTTATTTTATTAATTTTTAACATTTATTTATTGTTTATTTATTAATTATTTAATTATTTTTATATTGATTATTTATTTGTAAATTGAAATGTTTGTTTTAAAATTTTTATTTTATTTAAGAGAATTATTTATTTTTAATATTTATTTATTGCTTAAAATTTATTAATTAATTATTGATTTTATAATTATTTGTTTAAAAATTTGTTAATTAATTGTTAGTTATTAATTATTTATTCAGTTATCTATTTATTTATTTTATTATTTAGTTTATTATTATTAACTGTTTATTTATTAATTGTTCATTAAATTATTTATTATTTATATTTTTAATTAATATTGCAAAAATTTTTGAAAAATGATCATTCATTTAATAATTTAACCCAGGCCGATGCACCAAAAATTATAAGTTCTGTTATGTCTAAAATTTAAATTTGAAATTTTTAAATATTATTAAATTTTCCTAATCTAATGAACTTATAATTATTCCCTAATCTGTTTCCTCAATTTAACTTAATTAAATAAATTAAGTTGGGAAGAGGTATTAAATGAATGGTCAAAAAATATTATTTATTTAATAAAACTATTTATTAATAAACAAAATATATTAAATATTCCTTTATTGAGACATGTCCGTCCATTACATAACACAGTACACAAATAAGTATTTCTTGTATAGTATTCTTTACAATTCCTGAGTCTCTGACATTAATAAAATTTCCATCATCATTCCCACGAATTTTTTACATTTATTAATCACAGCGGTTGACAAAATTTCTCTCCAAAATTGCGCTTGTTCATTGCTTAATTCTACATCTGGAAAAAATTTTAATTTAATTTCCCTATATTTACTGCATTCATTCAGGATATGGTTCAGATCCACCCCATCTGACAGGCAAAAAATACACTGTTCCCGATTGAAAATTTTAAATTTTGCTCCATTTAATCGAACGTATTTTGAATGATAATTATTAAGGCGGATTTGTGCCATTCCGCGTTTCAGTTTTAAGCTCAAACTTCCCGTCAGATAGGGTTGTGCTCCTTTGATTAACGGCAAGTGGGGCCAGACCTGCAGGCTTCTTGAACGGGCTCTAGACTCACTATCTTTGTATATTTCGTACTCGATGTACTTTGATAAAAGTTGACCCGAATGCTTTACTAGTTTTGATAAGGAGGCCTCCTCCCATACATTTTGCATGTTGCATACCTCGAAGTAAGGCCTTATTTGTTGGAACCAATTGCCGCACCTCCCCACCGATCCCGAACGCGCCAGCTCCATCAGTCTCTCGAGGCACTGTCTTGGGTATCGTGAAGAGTTCATTAAAGAGATTTTTTCCACCCAAGACAGTGTCCTCGCCAGGACTGCGCAGGATAAAAACAAAATATAAAAGTTTATTTAAAAGAAAATATTATGCTTTTAATTATTTAATGGTTGAGAAACAATTATCAAATATTCCTTCCTATAAGATTTGGGTTCTTGTTTACCTCGAGTCTTTTATTGGTGTTTCGACAGCTGGACCACTCAACGTCAGATAAGATCTTCTATGTCAGATGTTAAAAGGTCGCTCGTAAAAATTTTATGACAGAATTTTCACTGGAACTTCTGGACCGTATTTTCTGTATTTCACTAAGTTCTTTGACCCTTTTTCTTTAATTGCTGAACACTTGTATTTTTATAGCACTTATGAATGACTGTAGATACTGCCGACACTTATGTATATATATATATATATATATGTATATATTCGTCGAACTAAACTGCTTCACAACTGATACTGATATTGATACTGATTTTGACTGTCCTCCATGGGAAAGATTTCCCTTTATATACAAAAATTTTATAATGTAAATCTTTCGATGGGACCAGCTAACCCAGGAAGTCTTTTTCTAGGACGGTACCACCTCACCGATGTAAATAGTATTAGTCCCCTCTTCTATGTAGTAGTGGCTCACACATATGGTCCATTCATTTGAAAATTATATTCCTCAACCACCAAACATCAAAAACAACATATATATCTTTTGCATTATAAATATAACATTATTATAAAATATTATTTGTTTACATATAATTGTTTATTAACAAGTATTTGTTTATTTACAAATACTTGTTTCACAATTATTTATTTATAAATACATATATTTATTTAGAAACAATTGTTTATTTATAAATAATTGTTAATTTACAAGTATTTGTTTATTTAAAAATACTTGTTTAATTATAAACATTTATTTATTTATAAATATATTTGTTTATTTATAAACAACTGTTTATTCACAAATATTTGTTTACAAATATTTGTTTAATTATAAACAATTATTTATTTACAAATATATTTATTTATTTAATTAATTCATTAAAAATAATAACATTTATTTATAAAATATGTTACGGTGACGTGACATAAGAATGGATTTGAATAATTTTAACGAATTGTTGAGATTGTTGAATCCATATCTTAAAAAATATAGTAGACGCGCTTTATCATCAGAACATCGATTACTTACAGCATTAAGGTACTCATTCTTGAAATTGTTAAGTTTTTCTTGGAAATATTTTCCTTCGACATACTGTGAACTTAAAAGAATTCATAAATTGATGAATTGAAGTATATAATAATTTAGAAAATAATATAAGAAGATGATATCGATCTATATATTTAGAAAATATATAGTTCTTTTTTGTAAGAAAAAATTTAAATATACTTGTCACACACAATATTTTAAGATATACAATTTATAGTTGATTTAAATTATTACTAATCAGTAACCTTTTTCAAAATACTGAGATTCTTTGTCAGGAAAGGGGTCGTTAATAAACTACGTAGCCCCATTTTTAGAAATTTTAACCCCCCCCCTCTACTATGTAGCACATTTTCACATGTATTACAACAATTTTTACCTCTTATCGTAGACAATAACTTGCTCTCCTCCACTTGAAAGTACTACATAGTTTATGAACGACCCCTTGAAGGCCAGGAAGTTGTCAAGTATATTTTTTGACTGTTTTCAGTTGCCTCTATGTATAATTAGAATTCTTCTCAGTTATTCATATTATAACATGAATAAGTGTTATAATATATTTTTCTTGTAGATATTTTGCAACTGGAGACCTGATCCTGTCTGTCTCATTAGCGTTTCGGATTGGAGAGTCAACTGCCAGAAATATAATTAAAGAAGTAGCGCATGTCCTAGTGCAAGTGTTGGCACCTACTTACTTGCAGACTGTAAGCTCGCAAAAATGGAGTGAAATTATGACGCACTTTTTGAGAGATTGGAATTTTCCAAATTGCGTAGGAGCTTTAGATGGAAAACACTTTCAAATAAAAGCTCCACCCAACTCTGGTTCTCTTTTCTACAATTATAAAAAAACATTTAGTGTTGTTCTTTTGGCAGCATGTGATAGTTCGTATAAATTTACTCTAGTCCATGTTGGAGAAATGGGAAGCAACAATGACGCTGGTATATTCAATGAAAGTCCAATTGGACAGTGTATGAAACAACAACAGCTTCACTTGCCTAAGGGTGTTGCAAAACTGCCTGGAAGTGAGGAAACAACATCTGCTATGTTCCTTGGTGATGAAATTTTCCCCATTTCAAAAAACTTTATTGTTCCTTATGGAGGAATTAACCTTGATGAGGCGAGCAGAATCTTCAATTACCGACTTTCTAGAGCACGACGAGTAATTGAAAATGCCTTTGGTATTTTGGTTGCTCGTTGGAGAATTTTTAAAAGAATATTAGAATTGGAAGTCGATTGTATTGACACAATTATTCTAGCAACAATATGTTTGCACAATTTGTTGAGAACAAAAGACGAACTGGAAAATCCACCAGCAATCCAATATTGCACACCAAGATTCGTGGACCAGGAAAATGACGGAATTTTTATTCCTGGAGAGTGAAGAGCTAACAATGACGACCAATTACGTTCGTTACCAGTAATTCAGGTTGCCGATGAATCGAGGGAGGGTATTAGAATTAGAAATACTCTGAAGGACTATTTTCAAACTGTAGCAGGAGAAATTCCATGGCAATACGATTACATTCGAGATGCCGGAAGTTAACAATCTAATTACATAAAATATATTATCTTGTAAAGGAAATTTTTCAAAATATAATTCAAGAATAAATATTACTTCTTATCTTCAAAACATTTTTATCTTCTTATATTTAATTTATACTCACATCACTTTCATTTCACTTTCAACAACATTTATTGTTCTCAACTTTTCATATTCACCTCACTTTCGCCTAAATATAATTTTTTAATTTTTCATATTTGCTTCAAACTCACTTCACTTTCATCAAAATTTTTGTCTTATCATTCATAACATTAAGGCCTAAGTCGAAATTTCAAAAACCTACTTAATACCCACTATCTAGGGCCAAATAGAATCTGCAATGTATTGTAAAGATTCTGAGAATAATAAAATGTTGTCCCATTTTAGAGAAGTAGTACTTTTTTCATTTATCATAAACTAAGAAAGATAATAATGCAATTTTTTTATTTTTTAAATTGTTATTTATATTAAAAAAAAGAAAATTAGTTAATCGTGTTACTACCATAACTGGCCATATATTTGTGATAAACACAGTTAGAAAGAATTGCTGCAGACATGATATCTCGAAAAAATGTCAACCAATTTCGCTTAGTAAGTAATTTCAGTAATATTTTCAGAATATAATAATGTAAATAATGTAAATTTCATACAAATATTAATGTTGAAATACAAAGAACCATTTTATTTTGTAATTTCCATAATTTTTTCAGTAATTAAACATTGCTATTATGTCACCCTTTGCTAATTCGGTTTATTATTACAATATTTGTAGAAAAGAAATTAACCAGAAAATTAACGCTGATTACCTATAGAATGAAAAAGAATTTATAAAATATTATTCGAATAATACTTGAAGAAGGCGTTGTTTTTTTAATACTTGTGTTTGTTTATCTAGATTTGAAAGTTCCAACGCTATGAAATTTGCAAAAGCTTCATCTGCTAAAAAACTATTATCGTCTCCATGTTTTAAGTAGTTTTGTGAATTATTTGAAAAACGTTCTTCTATAATAGACGATAAATTGAAAAAGCATGATTCTATAGGATCAATTTCTGTCGATATTTCTGAATCACTGGATAAAGTCGAAACATGTGATGATGTTGAAGCTCTTGAAGATGACGATGCAGTTGAAATATTTGATTGAGACTCGTTCGTTGAAGCCACAACAGAGTGTGGAACAATGATCTTAGAATTCAGTGAACTTGAAGTGGAAGGAGATCCAGAATATACTCCATGACCCGAATTAGGTTGTTGAGGAAAAGATGACGATTGATTGCGCGATTGAACAGGATACGGAACATTACAGAAAGTTCTACAATAAAATATAGTAAACATAAGAAGTTAATCAAATTGATATATTATATATATTAAAAACTTTCTTTCTGATCAAACAATTGGTTCAATTCATAATCGACTTTAGATACATTTGAGCTAATTATTTCCAATTGAAATTATTTTTTGTTTTAAGAAAATTTATTCCATTATCATAACCATTAACTAAGTAATGATATATTTAATAAAAATAATAGTTGAAATTTCAGACAAAATTTATCAAGTATTAAAATTAATTTAAGTTTTTGTGCCTGTTTTTGAAATTTGAGTCCATCATTTCCATGCAAAATTTTTATTATTACAATCCATAAAACATTTATTCAGAATGATTGACTTAAGATGAGTTCTTGACAATTTTACAAGTAAGTCTTTAAAAATATGGTTCATTCAATTTCAAGTATAAAGTCATTTTTGATATAAGTAAAAAACTATCAAAAATGACTCTATAAATTGAAAATATGTTATGGTATTGAATCTCTGTAGAACATTAGAAATCCCATTTAGAAAAATTTCAGGAAAAATTCGCTTAACCTGCCTTTTTAGAAAATTTTCCATAACCTCTTTAAATTAAAAATTCGCGAAATTAGGGGGATCAAAACATAAAGGTGTCAAAATTCATATTTTAAAATCTGTCTTATTGATTTCGAATTATGAAAATTGTCAAGTATAATTCTGAAATACATATTAAATAAAATAATTTTTTTTCATAAATTTAGTTTCTAAATTTATGTTTTAATTAACCCAATTAGACCTATAAGTCCGATTTTTGATAAACATTTAAACTTCTTGTTTTATGAGATAATTGTTTGAAACTAAAACTGGATGATTCTTATAGATTGTGTCTTCTTTCAGATCCTGCAAGAAAACTTTATATTCAATTTGAGGATTTCAGTTCTGAATCTTTAAATAAAAAAGCCTCAATATTCATGTTCTCTTTGTTTCAAAAAGTAAAAATTTCTATTCAAAATTACCTTAGAAAAATTCAAAAACAAAAAAAATTCACTTCCAAAATGTTAGAACTTCCAGATAGATTAGGTGAGAGATTATGATTCCAATAAAATTGGAAAAGTAACGCTTTAAAAATGATTGACAAAGGTTAAACGTTTTTAAGAATAGCATTATGAATATTTTGATTTCATTTTATATGCAAATACTTAAATCAATTACTATCTACTTGTAATTTAAGAACATTATAAACAATTTTCAAATGTAACACAGCAATCATGGAAATAATTTCGCTGAATTGATTTTCGTACTCAAAATAGATCAAGATGTTACAGAATTTTATCCAACATTGATTTACAATATGCAATAATAGTATTAAAATTTTCCAACCATGAATCGAAATCGAGAAAGAAAACTTGTTTCTTCCGTCGTTTGAATTTGTATATTTTGAATTTGTCCATGATTGTGGTATTTCGTATAAAAATTCATTGTAACATTCTTAAATATTGTTAACTATTGTTAGATGAAATATTCTATGTTTTTGACATATTTTTAATACAGAAATTCATCGCAAAATCATAATTCTTTTTGTTGTATAAAAATAAAATGAAAGATACATTTTTTTCGATTAAGTTTCTTATTTTTAAAGTCATACATAACATTGCTGAATAAAAATGTATTAATATGTAATATTAAAATGTTAAGTGCATGATACTATTACATGGAATTTTACAATAAAAGTAAAAATAATATTTACTTAACGTTAAACTTTTAATCCATTTGAGACTGCTAACATTTTGGACGCAAATTCAGGCTTTATTGTTGAAAGAAATATAAATATTTTTCTAGGTTAAATTTAAATTTTTTATAATATAAGAAAACACATAAATTTATAACAATCATTAACTACTTTTTTCAAAGTGGCGCTTTCAAAATTAAATGAAAATCGTACTTTTATGACTAAATTGATTAAAAAATTACCAAATAAATGAATTTTTAAAAATATTATTTTGAAAAATTAAAAAAGATATTTCATGGGTCAATCCATTATATTTCGAATGAAGTGGTCGCTGACTAATTTTTAAAAATTATAATACTTTGCAGGAATGATTTTGAAGTTATCAAGATCACGAAATGAAAAGAATTTTAATAAAATTTTAATTATTTATTGCAAAATATGAATTTAAAGTATATGAGGTGCTGAAAACTGTCAATTTTTTAGCCATTAGAAAATATGCAAAAATACGTAGAATTTACCATAAAAATAAAAAAATTTTTTTGTAATTTACTAAGAATGAATAAATTTATCATTATCAATTGATGTAATTATTTAAATATGTGAAATAATATATAAAATATGATTTTCAAGTTCGCCTGTCAAATAACCTAAATTTGCAAATTTCATCTATTAAATGTGAGAAAGAGAAGTCATTAAATTGAAAAAAACCTTACCAAATATAAAGTACCTGTGACTAACTTTTAGTTTTTCTTAGCACTTTTTTCCTTTTTTCTTCATAAATGTGAAATAAAAAGCAATAAAAATTGGCACTTTGCTTATTTTCACTATTTTCAAATGTAAATAACTTTCTTGGAGAAAACTGAAAAATTACAAAACTTGGGCAATATCTAATTGATCACTAAATACACACACTGGAAAAAAATTCGCTTTGGTCCCGAAGATACTTTTTGAGATAATTAAGTTTAAACTTTTCACAATTTTTATCAGGTTAATACATGTAGTTTTTTAAGGACGAAGTTAGGTTTTATTGGTTAAATATTTTGAACTAACTTCAATTTTATAAAAATCACATGCATTAACCTCATAAAAATTGTGAAAAATTTAAACTTAATTATCTCAAAAAGTATCTTCGGGACCAAAGCGAATTTTTTTCTAGTGTGTGTATTTAGTGATCAATTAGATATTGCCCAAGTTTTGTAATTTTTCAGTTTTCTCCAAGAAAGTTATTTACATTTGAAAATAGTGAAAATAAGCAAAGTGCCAATTTTTATTGCTTTTTATTTCACATTTATGAAGAAAAAAGGAAAAAAGTGCTAAGAAAAACTAAAAGTTAGTCACAGGTACTTTATATTTGGTAAGGTTTTTTTCAATTTAATGACTTCTCTTTCTCACATTTAATAGATGAAATTTGCAAATTTAGGTTATTTGACAGGCGAACTTGAAAATCATATTTTATATATTATTTCACATATTTAAATAATTTCATCAATTGATAATGATAAATTTATTCATTCTTAGTAAATTACAAAAAAATTTTTTTATTTTTATGGTAAATTCTACGTATTTTTGCATATTTTCTAATGGCTAAAAAATTGACAGTTTTCAGCACCTCATATACTTTAAAGTCATATTTTGCAATAAATAATTAAAATTTTAATAAAATTCTTTTCATTTCGTGATCTTGATAACTTCAAAATCATTCCTGCAAAGTATTATAATTTTTAAAAATTAGTCAGCGACCACTTCATTCGAAATATAATGGATTGACCCTCATACTTTCTGCCCTTCCTATGGTCTTTGAGAAAACTCATAGCATCGTACAATGCG